GTACATTAAGCAATTCGAATACTTCAAAATATTTGGAAGATCGTTGATGAATAAAATAAACAGAAGGGGACCAAGGTACCTTGAGGTACACCTGACGTCATATGATAAAGATAATCCTCTGTTTCCTTCCAATGAAAAAAGAAGAAAGCCAGCGCAGCATGATTGGAGGGAAACCAATTTTATCAAGTTTGTATATTATAGTTGAATGAGATACTTTATCAAAAGCCATGCTGAAATCAGTGTAAATGACGTCAGTTTGATAATTACTTTTGAAACCATTGTTCACATTTGTAGTGAATTCAAGAAGGTTTGATACAGTTGATTTACCTTTACAAAAGCCGTGTTGTGATACATCGATAACGGGTGTTATGGAATAAGATAGTTGTTCCGTAACGATTTCTTCAAATAATTTAGGAATGGCACACAGCTTAGCGATTCCCCTATAATTCGCAATATTCGACCTGCTTCCATTTTTATAAAGCGCCAAGATATACGACTTCTTCCACAAAGAGGGGAAAACTCCTTGCTTTAGAGAAGCATTGAAGATGTTTGTTAATGGCTTATATAGATAATCAGCACAACTTATTAGGACACAGGAGGGAATATCATCCGGGCTGCTTAGAAAAGAATTTTTTAAACTATTCAAATGAAGGAGAACATTGTCAGCGGAGATTGAAGGAATACGGATGTGGTCAAACTGTGGGAGTGGAAAGGGATAGCTAGAAGTTTTTTCATCTGGCTCGACAGAATAGTTCGATTCAAAATAATTTGCAAACATATCATCAATCATATCATCATCACTAGAAATAACATCATCTAATTTCAGTGTTGAGGGAAACCAATTTATTTTACGTTATGAGTTAACAAAATGATAAAATGACTTGGGATTAGAAACGACGTTAATGCGAGTTTTATTAATGAAATTCCTGTAACATTTTCTGTTTAAAGCATTGTATTTATGACGAAGGATGGAGTACGCGGTGTAGTGAGAAGACAGGCCTGATTTTTTATAAAGTTTAAATGATTTAGTTTTCTGATTTTTTAAATGCTTTAGCTCTGAGTTAAACCCCAACGAGTTACGAGGTCCGGTATTTTCTTTAATTCTATTAGTTTTCTGAATATATTATTCAAGATTTTACTAAAGTGTAAGGCACTGTTCTCAACATCCCCATCGTACTCAGGCCAGATTATTTCAGATATAGCTATTTTAAGCTTGTCGTAGTTAGCGTATTTGAAAGAATATCGCCGACCTTTCTGCTTTCTAGTTTCAGGACAATAACATGAATCGTAGGATGGTGCGAAGGACAACTCAAGTGGTGGGTGATAAGGGTCTATAGGTATAACTAAAGGATCGCCGCGTATTATAGTGCATTTAGCAGTATCATCGATAAACACTAAATCAAGATATTTACCTAAGTTGAATTAATCTTATATAGACCAAGATCGGAAATTTCGTTAAGAAATTGGTTAAGTACATCCCGAGAAGAATTTGGCACCAGAATTCCATCCACCGAATCCCAGGAAACACGCGCTAGATTGAAGTCACCCAACACAACAATCAAATCGGAGGGCTTGACCATGGCAAATAAAGAGAGCAATAATGAAGAATGTTTAACGGAAACAGAAGGGTTAGAGTTTGGTGGAATATAAATTGCAACAAGTAAAACACTACTTGAGGGGCACCGTATTCTAACACAGAGGAATTCAACATCATCTGAACCTGTGAATACAACTTTTTCAGAGGAAAAGTCGGTCTGAACAGCTATTAAAACACCCCCACCTTTTCTATCTAAGCGATCACTTCTAAATATTTCATACTTACTAAACAATATTTCACTATCAAACACATTCGGTTTTAGCCAAGTTTCAGTAAAAACCAAAATTTCATAATTTAAAAAAAAAGACTAAGTACAGCTCGGTTAATTTTGTATTTAGACCTCTAACATTTTGGTAATAAAT